GAATGTGGTTTACTCTGGAGAGTGAGACAAAAAATGAGCAAATTGCAGCCGAGGCTCATCAAATAATGAACACGAGGCCCTTATTAGATGAATATTACATGAAACGCCTTTATTTCATTTGTAAGTTTATGCCTTCCTCAGAGTCTTCTATCACAGCCTTTGAAGTGGATGAGATGTTGTGTCTGCTATGTTAATAAGAGATTAAAAAAACTGATGATTTTACCGAAGCTCATATGGTCACAGCTCTTTTGGGAATACTACCTTTACTTTGATTCCAGTTTCTGTGTTTATTTGTTCTTAATTCTTGGCAGTAAAACCTCTCCACATGGCAGGGTGTGGTGTTTTTTTTATTGCTTAAAAAAAAAAGGGTGGTCCTACTCAGGTGCTTGTGTCTTATTGGTCGGCGCCATCCTCTAAAAACACCAATACCTGAATCAGGTGGAGAAAAAAGCCAGAGAGAAGACAGGTAGCATGTTGTCAGCTGTACCTTCAGTCCTCCTGAAGGCTGCTTTGAGCAATTCTGTTGTGTGATTTGCATTACATTCACAGAGTCGCGAGGGAACTAAAGGAGCACATAAGGTGAGTAATGCATTTTAAGTGAGGTAAGGCATTCATCTATGCACAGAAAAAGCTAAAAGTCTAATCTTGCAAATGCTTCAGACAGTAGATTTGTCTACAGCTACAACTCTAACTAATACCCTGTTACAAAAGTACCTGTGGTGAATTTATTAAAGTGATAAGATAACCTGGAGAAATCACATGCTCTGGAGCATTTGTATTAAGATTCAGCAGGACCAGTGGAGATTTTTAGGGCGTGGGAGGGGAGCAGTTATGTGCAGAGGTGTGCATGAAAGAGGGAGAAGTATGACTATCAGAAAGCTTCAGGTGTGGGGAGTGAGCGATGTGTTGAGTCGGTGTTGTGTTTCCCCAGGAGCGGGACTCTGAGGCGGACAGATAGCAGGGCTGGCCGTGGTGTCTGGTGGCAGTGGGGGGCTGTGGTGGGGGTGTTGCATCACTGATGACTAAACAGTCATTCAGCTCAGGCCTGTGATAACGTGCCAGAGCTCAGGATTTCAACAGCAGCCTGAAACCCTGGAGCCCCAGAGCGGGGCAGGCCTGGTCTCGCTCAGGCTCAAACTTAAACTCAAGAAAAAGGGAGAGGCCAACATCCAATCCCTGCTGCGCTCACTGCCACCCCCTCAACCTCGGAGGCTTCCTCATAAATCATACAGTCTCAGTCGCCCGCTCTGCACCAGGTGCCAGGGTCAGCCTCCACCCGGCCTCCAGCTTAACATTAAAAATCATCACTTTGGGAAAACTGTAATGATTCACGATGAAGATTGGACTGAAGGCTGTGTTATGTATATTTGTGTCTTATGTTTCAGACACATTCTGCAAGATTATTCCATGTGTTCTATCCTTCATTCCACCGGAGTCTGTATCTGAATTAAACCAGATTTCAGTGGTGTGAAGTGTACGAGACATGGGGATACGGCTTCACAGGCTAACGATACCAGAAGGCATCCGATTCAAAAGTGGAAGACCTAACTCAATTTATTCCATCTTGGCAGCTTCTCACAATCTCACACTGTTTATGTGATAAATAATACTGTATATACTGTGTGTATTCTTCCTGCAACATATAGCACAAAGCATGTTATGCATGTTTTCATCAATAAGATACCGAGCAGCTCGGTAATATGAATAAATATCCTGACCTTGTGCCTGCTTTTTCTTTCTTTCAACATCTCAAATCATTGCAGAGCCATTATACCACCCACACCCAACTTTCCGTGGCTGTCAGCCCCAGAGCATGATTTTTTTCATTAGCCAACATGGAGAATTTGAGACTCAGCCCACACAAACAACCTTTACTGTTTGGCAAATGAAGCTTATTAACAATTTAAAACATGCCCTGACTGTAGCCCACACAATAATGTCATTAAACATGTTTCTCCCTGCTAGAGAGATGCATCTCAAGTACTCCCTGCTCACGTCTCTCCAGTAGTGCACATCAAAAGGAGAGACGAACATAATACTGCTTTACTTCTCCATACCTCACTGTTTCATTACACAATATGTGCCTTACCCGCTTTTTGCAATGCCAGTGATAAAGACTAGACTGTAAAGCTAACTGCAGGCTCTTCAACCAGACCTGGTTAGGGTAAAGCTTCAGAGTTCAGAAGAATTTTAAATAAAACAGAGCATTGTGTCAGGAGGTTTGTGAACTCGCCCCTTCACTGCCGGGCTCAGTTTTGTTTTTAGTTCCTCACAATCAATCTCCTTTCGAGACTTTTTAAAATATGAAATAATAATGAGAATGCCACATATTTCTGGCCCATGGTTATGTAGGTGTGCACACTCACATAAATATAAATACACCCTCCTGGTATCGCTGACATGGGATGGATTTTCCCCTCAGTGGCCTCTAAACGTGTTTTAGTTACTTAACAGTGTCAGGTTTTAAAGTGCATAGCTACAAGCGATGTTAGCTTCTCAGATAACACACAAACAGTGGAGACGATGTGAAAGCTGATGCTAAGAAGATGCTGAGATATTAAGATGATTGAGTATTTTTAGTTGTTGGAACAGTCTCCCATTTACACTTAGATCTTCCACCTCTATTGATGCATTCAAAGCCGTCTTCAGACCCATCTCTTTTCTTTAGCCATTTAATTGTCATTATGATGCAAACCTGACCACACTGCTTAGCACATGTATTTTCTGTGTTTCATTTTGTTGCTTGTGCATCATATTTGTGTTACGATTTCATCAAAATATTGTATGCTCTCATTAATTTTACTTACATTCTCCCATTTATGACTGGTTTTATTTGATTTGATTTAATTTCTTCGTGAAGCACTTTGGTCCACATTTGTTGTTTTTAAATGTGCTGTACAAATAAATCTGACTTGACTTGACATGAGAACCTCAGCTGTATTCCTTAAAACCTAGGCAGTAATTATAATAAAATTTGCTAAAATGCAATGCTAAAAAATGTAATGAAAAGAAAATCTGCTACAACAGAACACCATGCATCACAATCTGAAATCATCATCATGAAATGTAATCAACATCATAAATAAACTTAACAAATTGCCATTATTATGACAGTTTAAGTATGGTGTACTGCAGTTATATGTGTGGTTTGTCCAAGTGGTGCTGCCGTACCCCAGCAGATGCTGTTGCTCGACAGCTGTGGGTAGAGAATTTGCGCTCCCTAGATAAGCAAATGCATGACCCAATCTTCTCTGCCTCACTCTGTATCTGATTGGCTTCAGCGAAATTTAGGGTAGCCTACGCACGTCGCCTACGTTGTTGTGAGCATTTTTACTTGTGCGCTGGTGTGTCTGTGTCACTCTGCAGCTACACCTCCAAAACACTAGTTGGCAGCAGAGGTTTCTGTAAAGTGCTGGTTTTAAGTTTAGTTGATTCAAAACACACATTAAACACACATTAAATTAAACATGGCTTAATAGAGACAGTTTGAAACACAAGTGCACAAATCAGCTTCACTATAAGTCGCAGCATTCAGAGAAAAACACTTGTCTTCATCTGGACACATTTTCCCCTCAAATACAACATGCTAACGTTATTAGCACAAGGCTATGGCATTTTACATTGTATGAATTAGCCTAGCAGCTAGCGATCTTTCCCTCTTCTCATATAAAACCAGGGACAACAGCAATTACAACTCACAAGGTTCACTGACAAAACAATACTAGTCTTATACTAAACATGTTTTCCAAACAGATACAACATGCTAACGTTATTAGCACAAGCCTATGGCATTTTACATTGTATAAATTAGCCTAGTGAATAGCGGAGATTTCCTCTGCTCACATGAAGCCAGGATAAATCACACACACGACTTAAAATGCTATTTTTGTGGAGGCTTTATTGTCTTCACAATTTATTGTTTCTTATCTGTGAAATTAAAGTAAATAAAAGCTTTGTTTCCACTGAGGGAAATGGTGTCAGTACACAGAAACACACAGGAGGTCTGCGTCACCACGATGCGTAGTTACAGTTCTGGGGAGGTGCACATCAGGCTACGGCGTAGCTACGGCATTGATTCAACGCATAAGTAAATGAACTTTATCTCTGATATTCTTTCCCCAACCCCAACCAATCCTGCTCCTCTTGCATAAACCAACCCAAGCAACAAGGACTAGCCAATCAGAGAGTTGATCTTCTTGCAGGCGCTGATTATAAGTGTGTAAGGCCTATTGCCTGATGTAAAGCTCTGGGTAGCCCTGCACTCACATTATCAACTTCTCCATATTTATCAGACTGAATATTTACAGAAGAAGGGAAAGATATCTGTCAGCTGTGATTGGTTGGTAACCTGACTCCTGACTGTGTCTGTCCCTTTCAAATTAAATTCCCACATGGTCCAGTCATATAGGTTTTGATTTGTTTTGATGAGGTGCAGCTCCTAATAGAGTTTCACCTTTTGTTTTTAAATTTTCTGCATCTAAGCAACCAATGAAATCTTGCCAACTAATGACCTTTCTGGTCGACTAACATTTGGTTGACTATTAGGTGGCAGCCCTAGTGGACAGTAATGCTTAATGCAAGTTGGAGTCAGTGTGGATTGAAAACTACCATCTCCATGGCAACATTACAACTACCAATCACATTGTGTGACAAAATATGAAGTTGTCAGCGACATATTCTCCTCCTGGTGCGCAATGTGAAAGAATAGTGTTGAGCGACACTTTTTTCTGTCAAAAATATGTTATTTCTCTCAAACAACACTTACTAAATGTGTCGAGTGCCAAACCATAAATCAGGCTTTAGTTAAACATTTTGGACACTCATATTCTCAATGGCATTAATTTCTTGAGCATGGTGATTGGCTGTTTCAAAAAAGACTCAGAATGCTGCTCATACCTTTGCATTGTTTTAAATTGAACACATTCTACATCATCTGTAACATTTAAAAATACACTTCACATACTGTCAGCAGTGTGTACTGAGTCTGAACTGCTTCAGCCGACATGAAAGTCTGGAAATTCTGTCTCTTCTTTTTCCTCCTCCTGAGTTCAACGCTCGGAGAAGACACAGGTGAGAGCGAATGTTCCTACAGCAGGTGCAGTTACATCAGCAGCCTGCATGCTGTAAGACTTCAACTGAAGGAACTCAGAGTGAGGCTGAATTTGCTGATTGCTCTGTTCTCTTTTGTGAAATGTTGATTATTCGGTTTCTATTCTAAGCAGCTGAGGAGGGCTATATGACAGTTTCACGCCACAAACGCAGCACTTGCTAATTGAAAGCACAAGCATGCTGCAGAAATGTTGTGAAGTGTCAGCAGTACACTTCATTAACTGGAGTTTACAGTGTACTGTGTGGTCATGCCTTCGTGTTACCGTTTAGTACAAGCCGTCTGACTCTTCGTTTGTCTGTTTGCTAAACTGGTGTTCTTCCTACAGTTATTACATCTTATTGTAATCAGTGTGTGCTGTGGCTGTTTAGTTGCAGAGGACATCAGTGTCCATCAGCTGGAGCGTTTAGTGGAGTTGCTGACGTCTACGGAGTGTGAGGACCTTCTGTTCGCCCTCTCTCACCCAGAGGAGAACATCTTCCAGCACGCTGAACGCCTCTCACCAGAAAAAAATCAACTAGACGTTAAGCCTCGAGCCAAGAGAGACACCCCCTCTGCTACGGGTTAGTACACCATCATCATGTGAAACCTGAGACCTTTGGCACTTTAGACCACAGAAATCATGGAGCAGGAAGGGAAAGAGCACTAGAATTTCATAATCAAGTAAAAGTCTTATTACAGTGGAGAATTCTTGAATAAAAGTAAAACTACTTGTGTAAAAATGTCCTCAGATTAAATTTATAAGTCGCTCTTTTAAATGAACTCTGGGTTGATTTACATTTTTAAAAAGGGGGGACAGAATATGATGATGTTATATGATAGCACTAGTAAATTAAAGAACACCTTTATGCTACATAATAAAATACATCAGCTAGCATGTCAGCTATACACGAGTGGAACAACATTATGCCATCACCAGGTGTGAACCATGCCAACAATCACTTATGACTGAACACCAATAAATTCCCTTTCTGTAGACGGATATTGCAACCTGTGCATACAACTGATTGTGACTTAACACAAGAGCTGTGGACACCATGGCGGATGCAACAAAAGTTACTTGGCCTCGATCACACAGAAAGCGTTTTGCAGGTTTCAAAACCCAAGGCACGCCGCACTTGTTTAAACTGAATGCCACTAGTAATAAAAATGCTTACTGCGCCTTTTTATTGTTGCCAGGCAACTACCCCGTCAACTCCTTACCATAACCTTCTTGTGTAATCAATCTACCGTGTATTTATTTATTTCACAGTAATTAGTAGCTAGTTGTTGATAGTAGATAGTTTGTTGGGCACAGGGAAACAGAGATCTGTGTGGGTACATGAGACCCTAAAAAACACGGTGGATCATGGGGAGTACCACCAGTTGGTCCAGGAGCTTTGCATCGAGGTTGGCAGTTTCAAATACTGCACTTATTTACCTCAGTGCCTGCTGTTCGCTATCGAGATCATTGTAACTGGTTTGTAAAGTCGTATAGCTCTGAGTATCCAGCAAAAGCTACCACCAGTTTCTCCTCCATTGTTTACCAGCTGTAAACTTGTTGTCGTGACCACCACAGAAGGCCCACAGCCTCTCATATCATCCAGTTAGACAATGGGGAAAACATTCAAGATGATGTGGAGTGTTTTTCTGCCCTGAGTTGAAGTTTTTTCAACTCAAGGAGTTCAGAGTGCTCTGGCAAAAATGGCAGGTGCCTAGAGCGCAGAAACATGAGGTGCATAGCAACGCAAGAACCGTTATAATTCTCATTACAAAACTGCTGCTAAAACTCTTTCTGTGTGATCGGGGCCTTAAGCTACATAGATTAGAAAAGCCTGCCCCTGCAGAATAAAACATCACCAAGACAGCCAACTCAGAGATGTAAAGACAATATAAACTTGACAGCAGCCCACAAACATACACATTAAATTAAAAGAGAGCCTGCACAGTGTTTTCACACTGCGTATAATTCAACAAGTTTATTTGTGCACTCCCCTGTCTGAACATCAGTCTGAGTCTTGCGCACCACAAAGTCCCAAACCAATCGCAAGAGCAAATGTTGGCAGTGAATGTTTCTGCAAACCATGGATACATACATTTTGTAAGGGATATATTGAAACTTTATATGTCATTAATGCTGTGGTGATTATTTGGCTAGGTTAAGGCACAAAAACACCTATCATTGGAAAAAGATCATGTTTTGGCTTAATATGACTGGATTTGGTTGCGTATTCCCAGCTGAGAATGCAGCCATGTCTAGATGAAAAAGAACCACTTTTCATGGCACTACCCACGTTGGAAAAACTGCGACGGGTCACTAAAACATACCCATGTTTGGTGGCTTAAAAGCTGCTGGAAACACAGCAATGACTCCAAACAACAGTTGTTTGTTGGTCTTGAACAGTGGTCTGCAGCTGGACAGGCGTCACTCCATCCACCACAACCTCCTCCTCTGCATAGCTTTAGAAACGTTGGTATGATTCATATGAAATGTACAAATGCAACATATTCATGGTTTGCAGAAAATCACAATGCCAACATTTCCCTCTGGAGACTGGGCTGGAAATCCTCCACAATCTGCTCTAGCTTCAAACTCTCAGCTTGTTCATTCTAAATGAAAGAATATAACCAGTCCACTCAGCCTCTCCGTCCCACTGCGCCCCTCAAACTCGAAAAGTATTGAGCTGAATGACGTTTTGTAGTTACAGTTGTGACTGTCACAAATATCAGAAAGACCTCACACACCTCACTGAATGTATACATTCTACAGCATCAGCTGGCGGATCCACAATGAATGAATACGCATTTAGTATTTTAGCTAGACCCGGCACGCACCTGTTGTTCACTCAGTATTGTAAGTGTGTTTGATTGGTGTCACTTACAGTAGCATGCTTGCCAGATGTGACCTTTTTTTTTAAACCAATATCAGGTAATAGTGCTCATCTTAAAGGCTGAGCATTGTGTGTAAGATTTAGGAGAAATGTATGGGCAAAAGTGGAAGATAATATTCACAAATACGTTTTCATCAGTTTATAATCACCTGAAAATAATAATCATGTTTTTCGTAACCTTAGGGTGCTTTCACACCTGCCCTGTTTGGTTCGCTTCAATCCAACTCAAGTTTGTTTGCCCCCTCAGTGCAGTTCATTTGGGCAGGTGTGAACACAGCAATCACACTCAGGTGTACACCAAAACAACCGGACAGAGACCTTCTTGAAGAGGTGGTCTCAGTCCGGTTACAAATGAACTCTGGTGCGGTTCATTTGTGGTGAGAACGTGTTCCGACCTGGATCTGAACCAACTGCAGTCACATAACACATTGTTTGGGTTAAACATGAGCATGTTACAGTCCTGGAGGATTATTAATGTGCACCTCCTCCTGTACTGCTTTAATATGCACATTCAGCACATCCAATGCATCAAAACATTGTTTTCTAGTTGGAGCCGCGCCTAGTTTTCAAACTGTATGGTTTGACTAAAATGAACAATGACAGCAAAATAGTCCACGATGAGCAGCGCTAAAATCAACCTGCGTAGTTGTCCCTCCATTGTGACATTAGAAAGTGTCACATTTATCTTGCAAGTGTACTCTTCTTCAGCGTTTGCTTTACTTCCTGGATTTTTCCCACGTGGAAATTCTGACCAATCAAGACTAGCTTTCTCGGGCAAGGCATTTGATCTGGTCCGCTTGTAAATGCTTGTAAATAAGTCCCTGATTCAGACCAAAGCAAGACAGCTCTAGGTCTGAGAGCACCCTTAGAACGAGCCACTTATATCTACAGTGCGGGAGTTCACCATGTTTCTACGGTAACCCAGAACAAACAAACCAAACACTGACTCTAGATAGGGCCATTCGCTTCTTGTTTTTGCGTCAGCCACTGCACTCTTGGCACACCATGAAAGTTTCAGTCAGTTGCAATCTGCAACCTCACCAGTAAATGCCACTAAATCCTAATCACTAGAGAGAGTACTGGAATGGGATACTTAAAGAATAATAATTAAAAGTACCCTTATTTAGGTAAAATTTCTTCAAAGTGTAAAAGTAGGTCAGTTAAAATACACTGAGTAAACATTACTGTTACTTTTTAAAGGTTTTAGTCCAAAACTTCCTCTTTGAGAGGAAACGTTTTAATGAAATGATCATATTTTTGTTAAGATATACTCGACTGTCTAACTCAGAAGTCTCATATTCGCTTCAGCTGAAACCTGTCCTTTAAGAGTTGGATGCTATTGGCTGTAATAAGGTAGAAGTGAAGTCCACCCTGAGATCTGTCTGTTTCTCACACGTCCAGCTCAGCTTGGGGAGTTTCTGGCAGCAAGCTGGCTGTCAGAGACCTGCCTGTCTGAGAGGGCCATATGTTTTGTGTTTACTAGATGGTGAGGCTCAGTGTCGGACGGCCCTGACAGACTGGCTGCTGAGGTATGGCGAGCAGACTTACTACGACAGGCTTTCTCGCGCCTTGCAGCACATCGGCCGAACGGACATCGCCGTTGGTGAGAAAGAACTGTAGACAGGACGAACACATGTGACTTCTGTGGCAATGAATAATTTATTTCTAAATAGAAAAACAAATCTGTCTGGTGCCACTTAGGTAATGGATTTCAATTAAAATAGTTCACTTTTTGTGTGCAGTAGAGTCTCAGCACGTCCCTCGACAAAAAGAAATTGGAACAAAGCCTGATTTGGGTACATGTCGGTGTATTTTCAAAACTGGTTTATTTCGGTCAAGAAGGCCTCCTCAAGACTTTAACAACAGTGTGTAATTGCTTCATTACTTTGAGATTTGTTTTAATTGGAACTTCAAAAGTGGCATATTTTGCACACTGCCAGTCTCTGGCATGTGTTGCAGTCCAGTGTGCACACAACTCCACAGCCGAGTGGCGTTGGATAGAAGGAGGTGTAAATGATCTGACAGAGGACTCAGTGGAGCTGACACCAGCCACGGAACAAACCATCTGCTCCTTTCATCAGCAGCTTTGGAGTAAAAAAAAAAAAACAAGGAGAGGATGGGAAGAGATGAGTTATAAGACATGAGGGGGGGGGGCAGTGGTGGCTTTGATGGAAAAAGACTGTAGATGCAGAATGCAGCAATTATCGTACACTTGATTGCAGTTCTGAAGAGATCTACTCATACGTAGAAACTTGAGTGGTTCATTTTGTTTTATTCTGAACCGAAGGACGCAGTTGCTCTCCTGCCAGAACTAATTATGTTCGGGGCGAGAAAACAACAATTAAATTCAAATGTACACTCTTTTATAAGATGAGACGCAGTGAGCATTTGAAGTGACAAGAGAAATAGTGGCCCTGTGCTTCTGTTTTTTTTTTTATTTACAGAAGTGGGGAAGAACATCAACCAGGACAAACTCTTGAGCCTGAAACGCTACGTTGAAGACTACCACAAATATGTCAGCTCCTTAAACTCACCACCAACACAATCTGACACAAAGGACCGGCAGCGTGGAAACCGGAGGGTCAGGAAAAGACAAGGTAATTTATCCTAAAGCTTGAAGGAGTCACATTAGTTTGGTACATCAACATGATCATCACTACTTGTCACATTCTGCTGCTTGGGCTAAAAGCTCCTGGCGTCATTTTAGTAACACTGGGCGCAGCCTTTTGTGTTGTGTCTTGACACAGAAGGGGTTGGAAAGGCAGCGGTGTGTCGTTAAAGAACAACTTCAAGTGGCACAGCCATGGCCGCACTACTTGGTCATGGTTAGAAAAAGATTGCAGTGATATGAAGGCAGCTGGAATGGCAGCAGTGTGTCACTAAGAACTACCCGGCTTTGAGTGGCATGATTGCAGCAGAAGAGGGGATCGGGGTTAGGTTTAGGCAACATAACTACTTGGTTATGGTTAGGAAAAGGTTGCAGATGTCATTAAAAAGCATACAGCTTAAGTGGCATAACCATGGCTGGAAAGGCAGCAGTGCCCTCCTGAAAAAGTGGAGTGAATGCAGTTAGCGGTGAAAGGTAGCGGTGCGTCGTTAAAAAGCACCCAGCTTCAAGTGACACAGTCGCGGCAGTAAGAGGGGGTCTGGGGTAAGGTTAAGGCAACAAAACTACTTGGTTATGGTTGGCAAAAGATCGCGAATGTTGCTAAAAAACACCTGGCTTTGATTGGCACAACCGTGGCTGGAATGGCAGCAGAGTGTCAATAAAAATCATGTGGCGTTGAATGGAATGAACATGACAGTAAGAGGGGGTCTGTGGTTAGGATTAGACAACAAAAGTACTTGGTTATGGTTAGGAAAAGACTGCCGATATTGCTAAAAAGCACCCGGCTTTGAGCGGCACACCTGCTGCTGGAAAGGCAGCGGTACGTCAACAAATGCACCCAGCTTCAAGCAACACAGCTGTAGCAGTAAGAGGAAGCCGGCGGTTGGGATTAGCCAACAAAAGTACTTGTTATGGTAAGCAAAAGATTGCAGATGTTGCTAAAAACCACCTGGCTTTTAGTGGTATGAGCATGGCAGTGAGAGGGGGTTCTGGGGTAAGGTTTACGCAACAAAACTACTTGGTTATGGTTAGGAAAAGATGCCGGATGTCCCACAACCATGGCACAACCATGGCTGGAATGGCAGTGGTGGTGTCGCTAAAAACCACCCAGCTTTGAGTGGCATGAACACGACAGACAGAGGGGGCCTGGGGTTAGGTTTAGGCAACAAAACTACGTGGTTGTGGTTTGCAAAAAATCACAGATGATGCTAAAAAGCACCCGGCTTTGAGTGGCACAGTTGAGGCTGGAAAGGCAGCAGTGTGTCGCTAAAAAACACCTAGTTTTAAGTGGCACAGCCTCGGCAGTAAGAGGGGGTCGGGGTTAGGTTTAGGCTATAAAACTTTTTGTTGTCTGTTGGTCTCAAAACTGTTATCCTGGGTCAAAGTCCAGTGTTTGTTTGACCCATCCATCTCCTCTCCCACCAACCCTGAGCAGACTTATACACTCTTTTAAGTTCGTATGTTGCGTCTCACACAGACACTGAACAGTTCCCCCCATTGTCACTATAATGAGACCGGAGACACCGCCCAAGCAGCGTACTTTGACACCCTGGGAATGAGACTAGTCTGGACACACTAAAAAATAGAATTAGTGATGGAGAACTGACTCTTAACATGTCTGAGCCCAAAAATCTCCGGCTATTGATGTCAAGAGGAGATTTCTGGGTTATCCCTCTGGAGACTGTCTGAATGACAAATGATATAATGTTCCACTGAACCCTGAATCTATTAAGTGTTTAGATGAGATGGCGGATTAGATTTGGTGGCCGTGGGCATGCTTCCAACTCATTACTTCTCAACATCAACACTCTCACCATACGAGGAGTATTTCCCAGGATGGCTAAAAATTCAAAAATGTAATTATCACCTGTCCATTTTTTCTGTTCTCTCCCGTGTGCTTCATTCAAGTTAAAACTTGACTAAATGCTCCCAGAGTCCTTTGAGATGTTAAGTGTATCTGTCCTGTTTGTGCTCCGTGTGTGTGTGTGTGTGTGTTAGTCAGGGATCTTTCATGGCGTGACCTGGATCTGATTGTGGAGCGGGCCCCTGTCGCGCTGTACCAGAGGGGGCCTTTGGATGTAGCTCTGCCCCTCTTATATGGCATCCTGCTGGGCTTCGGAGGTACCTTGCTCGCAGGAGTCTCTATACTTCTCATCATCATACACATCTCCAGTAAAACCCAGCAGAGCCGTCACCCCAGGGTCACTGGCAGAAAGCTCATGGTTGGAGATGTGATGTTTGAAAATGCAGCATCTGGGAGATTAGACACTGCAAAATAGGCAGCTTAGGGGTTTAAATCTTTCTAGGAATCCGTACAAATAATGTCGGTATCACGCCCAACATTTAATACACATACATCTGGTGTACATACATAAATAAAGGCAGAGTAGATCATTTTGTTCTCTTTCTATTTGTTTTCAGATGTCTCTTTTATGGAAGATTTAAAATGCCAAAATCTCCCAATCTCTTTGTCCACAACGACGAGCAGAGCCAACACGGAAGCTCAATATCGATTCCACCATACCACATCTAATTATGACAAATATGACAAGAATAATGCCGTTTCAGATAAAGTAATTATCCATGCTGTGTATTGCGAGACTGGTAAGCATTATTGTCTTGCCAGTGGGTAGATGACTAGTGGTGTGACAGATGCGCTGGAACCCAGCCCTCACACCAAAGGTTGTTCCGGTGTTACTGTGATAGTGATGCCACTTTCCATTTCCCCTCCAAGTGACGGCAATGTGCCCGTCTGGCATCGAAGAACAACTAATTATCCAGCCTGGCGCCTGCTTCCCCCGGAGCCTGCCGATACCTCCACAGGCAATCCAAAAAGACTAATAACAATGACAATACTAGCAGACAATGGAGCACTCTTGGTTGTGATGGCAGCTTCTGGCGGGTGACAGAAGCCAAATAAAAAACACAGAGCTATATTTCTTTTCTGAACGTGTGAAGTAGCGAGGATTGTTAGCAAGCTGAAATAACTTGATATGTGAGATGCTGCAGTGAATGGGGTCCAGAAACTGGCATCAGAAAGCAAACAGAATACAAATGTTCATATTAGAGGATCCAAATTAACTCTAACATGTGCGGGCTTTAATTAAGAAAATCATTTGCTCACAACGAGGCTATTCTCACATACTCCGCTGAGTATGTTTCATAATAGCAAGACAGCAAACACGCTCATGGCACCGGGGTACCTTCTAGCTTCTTGTTCCCTGTTTCTTGCGCTATCCCTACTTTCTTCTTCGTAATTGAACTAATTACTTCATTATACAAATCTGGCCTAATGTGCTTCAGGAGGCAGACAGCTTGGATTAACAGTGGCACTAAGCAGCAATTACAGACAATTAGTTCATAAATCAACATTTAAACAAATTACAGTGCCAAGCAGACGTGTATGAGCAGCGCTCTGAAAGGCCAAAAGGGCATCATGGATTTGAGGCTCGACTTATGAGCTTCAAATATCTGACACGTATTGCATGTTGTTTTTCTACATTAATAGTCCTGTGGTGTATTTGTTTTTCATTATTAAACAGTTTCAGGTGCTACATAAATACTGTGAAAGTATCAGAAATGCACACACTCCACATTCAGATACTGTGCCTTTAAACGAGCCATCAAGACCTTCGTCAAGCTGTAACGTCACAACTAATCAATGTAGACCAAATCACGTTTGTTTACATTAGGGATGCACTGACTGTGAAATTCTGATACTGATGGTTTTTGTTGTTATTTTGTTTTTGTTGATTTTTTTTATTCCCCCTTTTGTGCCATGGAAGCAAAGAAATCTTCATTATAAAAAATAACTGAACTGTTTTAAAGTCATTAAGCCCTTCATTACACTGCTTTTGAATAAGCAGAAATTCAATCATACACATTAATGAAACAACCTTTAAAATGACCTTCTTTCACATGAAAAACATTTTAATAACTGCTTCGAAAGCCGTTTTACTATACATACATAATATATTATAATCATCTCTTTAATTTCTTTTCATATTGGTGTGGAAAAAAAATCAACAAATTTCTCCTTCAAACACTGTTTTTATTCAAGTTCCTCGCCGAAACCTCCTTTCTACAAGATTACACACATCGTGAGAACATTATAATTTACCTTCACCCAATACTCATTCTTATCAAAGAGAGCTTAAACGCATCATGCACTATAACTCAATGCAACCTCCGTCAGCAGTTAGTTGCTTCCGCCAGCTGCTAACAGCTAACATTAACCAGCTCTCCGCCTGCCGACGTCAACACAGAATTGCTGTTCACAATGTAACATTATCAGGGAGACAATAGGGTGCTCACAACGGCACTATGATACTGAATTTACTGCGTCCTTTTGTTCTGATGGCATTAGTCTCGAGGCCTGCACAAAACTGATGTGACACAACAGAAAAACATTGGCCACTGCTATTGGTGAATGTCAGCTTATTGCTGATGGGCTGATGGCAGTCAAAAGGGCGAGTATCATCCAATACCAAAATTAATTAAGTTAATTAAGTTAATTTACATAGCACTATTCAGCAATAAGGGTGGAACAGTGGTTTGGTGGTTAGTACTGTTGCCTCACAGCAAGAAGGTTCCAGGTTTGAACCCTCTGGCTGGCTGGGGCCCCTCTTTTTGGAGTCTGCATGTTCTCCCTGTGTCCCACAGTCCAAAGACATGCAGGTTAAGTTAACTGGAGAGTCTTAGAGCCTGTTTAGACCTGGAATTAACATGTGTAAGTGAACAGTCAAGATACATAACTGTTCACACCTGTGCCTATCATGCGTCTCCAGCTGATCCCTTGTTTTCAGATTTCGATACTGCCCCATGTTCAGTTATTACAACCACACTTTTGCGAGCTGCTCTGTAGCATGCTCGCTGTTGGCGGTTAGTTAGCAATTGTGTCAGTACAGCTTGAGATATCTCTGTCAGCAGAAGTCAACACATCTCCTTCCACAGGGCAAAACGATGGATGGTCACGCAACACTTCATCCAACTCGACATAAAATGGGTAAGTTATAGAGCTTTTAGTGCACCGTCACCAAAGAAACCACCACATCCTACATTAATGACGCAGTCCTTGTCAGAGACGCATCAGGATGTGTTAGCGTTTATACTACCAAAGATAGGTGGTCAAATGCGTCACAGACCACCTCAGCAAGTGGTTTGAACAATATGATCACAATGTGTCTTTGGTGGTTGTTTAGACTTGTATTTAGCGCTGTCCATTTGTGATCAGGTCACCCAAACAGGCTCTAAACTGCCCTCAGATGTCAATGTGAGCATGAACGTTGCCTCTCTCTATGTGTCAGCCCTGTGATAGTCTGTCGACCTGACCACGATGCACCCTGCCTTTCACACAACATCGGCTGCGATATGCTCCAGCCCCCCTACGACCTTGTACCATGATAAGCAGTTACGGAAAGCTAACGAATGAATGAATTTCCACAACAACACAATTCAAAGTGCTCTACACAAAACAGTAAAATTACTGGGACATAGTGCAAAAGTAAAAGGACATTTTAATGCCATTAGAAGCTTAATTAAGGAGCTAGAAAACAGAAAATAAAAACAAGCTGAAAGACATGGATAAAATACAAAAATAAAAGTTACAGTGCAGGGTAAGAAATGAATAAGTATTTGATTTAGTAAGAGGCTTTGGCAGAGAGAAAAGTCTTCGGCCTTGACTTAAAAGAACTGAGAGATGCAGTGGACGTGCAGTTGTCTGGGAGTTTGGTGGTGCATAAAAACTAAATGCTGGTTCTCCATGTTTAGTTTTGACTCTGGGGACACAAAGCAGACCTGCCCTAGAAAACCTGGGAGGTCTGGATGGTTTATAATGTGACAGAAGGTCAAAGAAGTATTTGTGCCTTTAACCATTCAGTGCTTTTTAAGCCAACAGTTGTATTTTGAGATCGATTCTCTGACAGACAGGACAGCGTGAGGAAAATAAAGTGGGTTTTTGAACATTAAAGCATGTGAAAATGTTCTGGTAGGAACCCAAAATACAAATATGAACCTGAACATGAGCAGAACTTGGTGTCTTTAATATTATATGCACTTTTTGAATCAATACCCAAATGCTAAAACCAATGCAAACTACCTGATTTAAATTTATATATATTTAAGATGTAAAGCAAAACCTGTCACATACAGTGATGACATTTTCCCACCATGTGTCTTGAGGACAACATTGTGTTTCACCTTCATTACCGAGCTTCCCAGGTGGCGACAGCAGAACTCCTCACAACAAAACTTCCTCTGTCCTTCAGTTTTCCCCTGCTGGCTGTTAGGATCCCGCAGGTGCTGACTATGACAGGTTCACCTGCTGCGGGCTCACCTGTATTTCTGTAACCAGTGGAGAGGAAAGCCAGAGTACTGTATGCCTGAATGACTCACAGAAACAACATGTCACATGGGGCCTGCATCATGGTTGTGACACTCCTTAGCATAGCCAAGGCCCCACTGGGAAGCTGCTCTTAGTGGATGAAGAAAACCATAAAACACCTCAAGCCTGTTGAGGCACACTGCATAACTTCAGAAATATACAGCACAGTGCACAATTTCATATTCTATAGAGCGGAGCGCGATCATGTGATTGTCAACCCGGCCCTTTAAGATGCATTTCATTTACAGGGCACTGAAAATGAACACCCGAATAAGCCAACGTTCATTTCAAGCCATTCTCATGCAAAGGGATGAAGCAATCACAGACGTCATGGATGAATAGAGAAAGAATCTGACATGAAATTGACATTTACAGCCAAGGCGAAGCCAAAGTGTGAGGGTACGGTTTCCAGGCATATCCATTCTCATGTAAAGTAGGGCTTTTTCTTTTTTAGTCCGCTGGTTTCTCTGGGTTATTTAATAGTTTGTGGAGCAGCAGCTTATCAAACTGGATTGTCTGAGGAGGGCACATCTGTCTCTTGTCATTGGCTCAGCTCAGCAGAAGGAGTCAAGTGTTTGTCTGGATGAAAATGTAGATGGACGGGATGTGATGCGTGCCAAGGGGACGCTCAGACAGAGAGGCTGTGTCCTTGATGTGCTGAGGCTGAGCGTTCTGCACCAGGGCCTCTGGGGTGTGCTTAGTGTCACTAAAGGCTTTAACTTCCCCCTCCCTCCATTTGCATCTTCATTCATCTACAGGGCCACTGAGGTGCCGCAGTCCCCACTCAACCATCACTCTCCCTTTGCTCAATATATATGGATCACAGGAAACAAGATCACAACACCAGCTCTTTTACAGTCATACTTTTTTTTCTTCTTTAAATCGCCTCAGCTCCAG